ACTATTTGACTACTTGTAGTATATTTATATCTCGTAATATTTTTAAAAGAGAAACACACTGAGATTCATTGAAATTAGGAGATTTTCTTAAGGATATATAACAGATCAGGGCAAGGAAAAGAGGGTGTAGAACACATACCTATTAGCTAAATCTATAGTTTCTTTCTACTACTCTGTCTTACCTAAATTTTAGAAATTAAAATTTACTAACAGCAATAATATAAAATACATTATGCAGTAGATTTTATTAGGAAATGTTTACATTTTTCAAAGAAATTGTTGGAAGTTGTACCTCTGGGACTAAATAGGTGAGTGCCAGTGACCCTAAAATGGCTGAATATAGTTCACATCCCAACTGAGTGGGATGTGAACTACAAAAACAAGAACATTGTATTAATCCTGTTACAGTTCAAAACATGTGTTGACACAGCTGGATATCAAGGTTTTTGTTTTTCTTTTCTTTTTTGGTTTTTAAGGAAACAGTGATTTGGTTTTGATTTCCAAAGAAATAATAACATATTGAATTTTTGTGACTGATCTTTGTTTGCTCAATACTAAAATGGTATTTAAAAAAAAAAAAATAAAGGTATTTCCCACAATTTAATCAATTAACAACCCAGCTATCATTATTTATATTTCCTCCTAACCAGAAGAAAAAACCCTAGTCAAAATGGCACAAAGAATTGGGGAAGAACAGGTGTATGAAGGAAATCTGACAAAATAGTGGAACTGGGCAACAGAGTCAAAGTCCACATTCCCCAGCCTTTCAGCCAAGACCCTGGCAGTGGCCCAGGTTGGCAGATAAGCCTCTTACTGCAAAACTCATTTGAATTTTCTGAGGCAAATCTGCACTAGGAGTGTAGGTTTTCTACCTTCTCAAAGTCAGGAAGCCAAGACTGCATATAGGGCCTGGATTCTTGACAACTTTCTCCAGGCCTAAGGACCACACTCAATCAAATACTCACATGAAAACTGATAGCAAGTAATCTCCACTTGAACCATCTTGCCACAAGGCAGAAGAAAATACCTGAAGATAATTCAGACCAGCATCTAAATATTTAAAAACAGCAACCACCAGGCACAACTACGTCAAATTGTGGATCCACAGGTTCATTATAGCCCTACAGGTGTGGTTTGATTGGTCCACACATGTCAGAATTGACTCAACACCTACTGGAAAACACTTATACAAAATTGGAACTGTTCACATTTACATAACTGTGAAGCCCTGGTGGCACAGTGCTTAAGTGCTCAGGTGCAAAATTTGCATTTCTGTATTTATAGATGAACTGATATGATGGCTAGAATTTGCTTCAAAATAATCCAGTGGTGGAAATTGGTAGTTTGGGAAATGAATATGGAGTGGAAGGAAAATTGTCTATGAGTACTTCCTGGTAGGTGGGTGACAAGGACACGGAGGTTTACTTTATCTGACTACTTTTGCATATTTCCAGAAGGAAGATTGAGTAACCTACTTCTGTAGTGATATCACCTTAGAAACCCAAGGAAAGGTTGCTATGAGTCTGATCCAGCTCCAAGTCAGAGTTTGTTTTGGTTTTTTGTTTTGTTTTGTTTGCATATTTCAAATTTTCAATAGTAACAAGTTGTTTGAGTTCTTTCTAAAAACTGTTTATTTCCAGCTTCCCTTGAAAAACTGAAGATTTTCCCCTAGGTCACATTCCAGCATGGCATCAGCAGGGTAGAGCTGGGAAGTTGCTGCTGTTTGGACAAGGTGTGTGCTGTCCACTTCTCCAGTCTCTGCAGCCTCTTTACTGCTTCAGTGGCTTGCTCTGTTCATTTATGTTACCTACCTGATACTTCCGTAGTGATACTGCCTCGGAAACCCAAGGAGGGGTGGCTATGAGTCGGGTCTGACTCAATAGCACATAACAACAACAACACCTGATACTGCTAACCAGAAGGCTAGCAGTTCAAACCCACCACCCATTCCTCAGAAGGAAGGCTAGGCAATCTACTTCCATCATGATACTGCCTCGGAAACCCAAAGAGGGGTTGCTTTGAGTCAGGTCCGACTCAACAGCAGTGCGTACCCAATACTGTAATGTATGAGTTTGTGACCCATGCCTATCCTAAAATCCCAGATTGATGTCAATATACCAAAATGTTCTTTTGTTCATTGTGATCTTTGAAATTTGAACAATTTAAGGCCAACATTCAGCCACATTAAGGCTGCCTCTCTGTGAAAATTATCCTACCATAAAAAAAAAAGGGAGGATGCAACTATGAAGTGCTTTGTATTAGAGACTTCTGACCCCAGGGAATTTTGGGATCAATAAAAGTATACTGACATTCTCCATGAGTTAGGCATTGGACCAGGCACTTGGATGTTAAGATAAACCATCCCTAACTTTACATCAATTTCAGGAGAGACAGAAATATTAATACATATAATTCAAATTTATTTTGCAATGCAATTTTATTGCAATATGTCCAGTTTTAAACATCTGCCCAAAAGCATAACGTAATTCAAAGAATCTTAAGGCTGCAACCAGGCACTTTTCTCTCAAGAGAATAAATAATGGAAGAACTAAATTTCCCTCAAATACCACCTTTGCCAAGGAACATTAATTTTTTTATTGTGGAAAGTTTTTTTGCAAACAGATACATATTTCACTCATTTTCGTAATAACTTGGAAGAAGGGCAAAGCATATATCTCTAATTAATGTCAACAAGTAGGGGGTGTAAGGCTCAGATGAGGTTTGAAATAGTTAAGGTTCCCTGGTGGTTCCTAAGGACAGACCATAAAAGGGTATTCATGTTTCAGGGCTACACAGTGGGGACATAGGGATATGATTTGCATTTGATTTTTTTTTGCAAATTTTCCATGTTACTTTTAAGAGAAAGACACCAGTGTCAAGCTGATTATCAGGGAATATCACTTTTAAACTGATGATCAGGACATACAATAGGTGCAGTGGCCACATTTTGAACCCAAAAATCAAGTATATACACATTTACAAGAACAAAAACAAATTTTTGAAAATTTGTTTTCAAATTTCTAATCTCTACAATTTTCTAGTCTTCTAGTCTCCACAAAGGTCAACAGAGTCAGTTCACCATGACACATCTTCTATACCTAGATTCCACCACCTACCCATCAGTTTGTTGTACTGTGATGGCTTGTGTGTTGCTATGACAGCAGAAGTTATGCCACCAGCATCTCACATAGGGTAATCCATAGTGGACAGACTTCAGCAGAACTTTCAGACTAAGTCAAATTAGGAAGAAAGGGCTGACAAGCTACATCTGAAAATTAGCCAATGAAAATGTTACAAAGCACGGAGAACATCATCTGACTTTTTTGCGTTGGACATGTCATCAAACCAAACCCACCACCATTGAGTTGATTCAGACTTAGAGTGACTCGTTAAGACAGAGTAAAACTGCCCCATAGGGTTTCTAAGGCTGTAAATCTTTACTGAAGCAGACTACCTCATCTTTCCCCCATAGAGCAACTGGTGAGTTCACACCGCTGACCTTTTGGTTAGCAGCCAAATGCTTTAACCACACCATCAGAGCTCCTAAATCTTTATGAAAGCTGACTGCCTCATCTTTCTCCCAAGGAGCAGCTGTTGGGTTGAACTGCTGACTTTTTGGTTAGCAGCCAAATGCTTTAACCATTGTACCACTGCAAATGACATTTATCAAAGTAGAACATGATGTTTGGTGAAGCAGAGGGCCAGTGAGGGTATGAGAAACCCTTAGTGAGATGGATTGGCACAACAGCCCCAACAATGGACTCCAACATACTGGCAATCATGTGGATACTGCAGGACCAGGCAGCATTTCATTCTGCTGTACATAAGATGGCCATGAGTCAGTTTACTCGATAGTAGCTGACAACAACAGCATACCTTTAATATGTTTAAAGGGTGATGATGCTCACAGTAATGGCTATCGCTAGAGTATTTCTCATAGTATGCAGGAAGTCTCCTCATGACATTTAATTCTCATGACAACCCTGTAAAGTAGGTACCACTATTATCCCTACTTTACACACAAGAAAACAGAAAGTAGTACAGAGTTTACATAAAGTAAGTTACTCAAAGTCACACTATGGTAAGCAGCCAAGGTAGAACTTGAAGAAAGGCAGTCACTCTGCACTCTGAAACACTATGCCTTACATAATGAGACAAAGATACCAGAAGATTCTAAAATGCCTACAGAACCATTTACAAAGCACTAAATTGTACTTAAGTATAGCTTTAACATCCATTGTGTTTTATTGAATTAAAATTCTCAGAAAATTAGTTCATCCAAATGAAATATTTCCCCAGTTAATCCAGTCCCCATTCCCCAGCTATTCTGTATAATAAGAATTTTCTTCATAATAAAGCCTTTTCTGTATTTTCATGTCACTTTCACATATGTATGTGTGCTTTCCATACTTTACAGGAAATTAGGCAGAAGGAAAAAAGTCTTACAATTTTTTAGGAAAACAAAAGCAAAGTTCTACTTGCTACCTTAAAGTATCACATGAGAATAATAAATGATGTTTCATTGAAAATTGGAAAATGGAGATCAGTACAATGAAACATAAAATTTTCCTTAACCAAATAAAATTGGTCACAGTTTATCATTTTTAAAAGAATTTCTCTCTCATCTTCTTTTTGTTCCTCCTTGGGATCTCCAAAACACAGACTCAAAAGTCTCTTCAAAATAATACCTCTGACGAAGGAGTTTCCTCTTCCCTTATTGTAATTTTATAAAAATCAAAATGAACACACCACATTGCTCAACTCCAGCTGCATTTTCACCTACTTACAGTGCTGTAGCTTGTGATACAAAAAAGGGAAGAGTGTATGCAGGCACCCAGTCAATATGTGAGATCTGTCCACTAACCCATGTCTGGGAGAGCTGGCTTCTTCACCAGGACACTCATATGTCTGCACTGAACTTTACACATTGCAAGTTTCAGAGCCCTTCATCCCTTTGGATGTGGAAATAACAGAGTACAGATTTGATGCTGAAATGATTGTCACTTAGGTGGAAGAGGTCTTCTCAAACCCATTGGCTTGTCCCTTAGGGAAAACTGAATTTCCTCAGCTAATTTTTTCTGACATTTGAGGTCTTTTAGGCGCTTCATTTCATGCTTCCTTTCAATTTTGATGGCTAAAAAACAAAATACACAAAACCATTGGATTGACATTTTTCACCAGGCATGATTCAGTCACACTAAATGATTTACTTATCACACTGCAAAATTCACATTCTTTAATACTGAACAAGATGACAAGGCTACAAAGACAGAGTATAAGTGTGGATGTGCATACTGAAACATTTCTCTGATAATAAGCAAAATGACACATGCACAATTTAACTTATTAAAGTACATCTTACTTACTTACTTTCTGCTGAGGGGAGCAGACCATTCTTAAAGGTGTTACATTTTATGAGTTGTATAGGACTACCAAAGGTAATTTCTTCTAAGAAAGGCAACCTGATCTTGGCTAAGTTCTCATACCAGGTCTTTGTAAGCAGCACAAGATCCCAAGTTTCCTGTCTGGGATATAAATTCATTAATTCATTCAATAAATATTTATTGAAGCAGCTGTTGTGTGTCATATTATTAATTATTAATTTTCAGTTCCATTATGCACTAGATTTGGTGGCTTTTTTTTTTCTTCTTATTGTAGTAAATATTTAGGTAATAAAATATTTGCCATTTCTACAGTCTACACATGTACAGTTCAGCAACTCAATTGCATTAATCATGTTGTTCAATCATCACCATTAACCATTCCTGAATTTTTCTATCATTCTTAATAGATGCTAGTCCACTAGACATTTTGGTTTACAGGAAGGCATTCAGGATTTTCCCAAGCTATAAATCTAGCTAGGAGAAAACCAAAAACCAAACTCACTGCCATCAAGTTAATTTGACTCATGGGCACACCTCATTGGATTTCCAAGGTGATATCACTACAGGAGATTGCCCAATCTTCCTCCGGAGGAGTGGCTGGTGGGTTTGAACTGCCAGACTGCTGGTTAGCAGTCAAATGCCTTAAGCACTATGCCACCAGAGCTCCTAGCCAGGAGAAAGAGCCTTATATTAATTACTATACAGATACATTGAAAAGTGACCAGAAATTATGCCAGGAACTTTTGTTCACAATACAACCTCCCTGGAGTCAATCCAATCTTTCTATGTCTTTTAAGAGGACACAGTTAAGAATTCTAAGCAGTAGAATCACTGTCAGAGGGGACCACACCAAAATGTTCCCAGAGTTTGGGTTGGTGGGCCCCACCACCCCTCACCTGCCAATCAGAGTGCTAGCAGGCAGGCACGGCACCTGTCAGTGGGCAGAGAGGAGGGTCTCTGCCTTGGCTGATGGGAGAAGAGTAGGGAGCAGGGGCCAGAAACAGTAGTCTAACATAGCCTGTTGGGCCCTGCTTGGGGGTGGACAGGGCTGGGCCACTATCCACACCAGAGGGGGATTTGCTGTGTCACACTGGTTGACACTAACCCTAGTGATGTCACTGACTATAAGCTCCCAGTCTTTTATGGCTCATCAAAAATTTATCACATTGAGCAAGAAAGGAGTAGTCATGCATTGAACAGGGTGGTTGGCATACACTAAGTGCTAATTTTAACCCTTACAAGCACCAGGCAGATAAATGTTATCATAATTTTACAAACAAGGAAACTGAGGCTCAGTAGTTAAATAATTAAGAACCAGAACTGATATTTAAGCTGGGAGTTTCTGGGTACAAAGTCCATGCTTCTTATCTTTAAATGCTTCTAATTGCTGAAGACCTCAGAATTCATTTTATTTCACAGAATTAATATTATATTTATTTTTTAATCATTTGTACCAAGAGAACCCTTAGAAGAGTGTGAAATTCCAAATTGCAACATTAAAAAGAGTCATTAATGGTTAATAAGGAGTTCGGGTGGTGTAGTCGCTAAGGCATTTGGCTGCTAACTAGGAAGTTGGTAGTTGAAACCCACCAGCCGCTCAGTGGAAGAATGATAAGGCAGTCTGCTTCCGTAAAGATTTACAGCCTTGGAAACCCAGTGGGAATCACCATGAGTCAGAATCAACTTAATGGCATTGAGTTTGTTTCTTTGGGTACCCCCCTCCCCACCACCCTTAACGGTTAATACATTTGGTTGTGAACCAAAAAGTTGGAAGTTTGAATACATTCAGAAAGAAAACCCTGGTAATCTGCTTCCAGAAAATTTACCATTGAAAACCCTATGGAATTAGGGCATATATGCAAAACAATAACCAACACTGTTCTCAATGGAGACAGACTTCCCCATGAGTGAAACTGTATCTATTCACAAATGACATAATCCTATACATATGAAATCCCAGAGATTCCACAAGCAAGCTATTGGATCTAATGGGAGAATTCAAGGAAGTGATTCACACACACACACACACACACACACACACAAATCAACTGAATCTCTTTACACTACCAAGGTGAACTCTGAAAAAGAAATCAAGAAAAACAATACCATTGGCAATAGACCCCAAAATGATAAAATGTTGTTGTTGTTATGTGCCATCTAGTCGGTCCCGACTCATAATGACCCCTCCTTGGGTTTCCGAGGTGGTATCACTATGGAAGTTGATTGCCCAACCTTCCTTCCAAGGAGTGACTGGTGGGTTTGAACCGCCAGCCTTCTGGTTAGCAGTCAAGTGCCTTAGGCACTACTCTACCAGAGCTCCTAAAATGATAAAAGAGGTAGGAATAAATCTAACCAGGAATGTAAAATACCTATTGTTATGGACTGAATTGTGTCCCCCAAAAAAATATATGTTGTAATCCTAACCTCTGTGTCTGTGGTTATAATTCCATTTGGTAATGGGTTGTCTTTGTTACACTGATGAGACAGGATTAGTGTAAAATGTGTCTTAAGTCAATCTCTTTTGAGATATAAAGAGAAATGAAATGAGAAAATAAAAAAATAAAGATGGAAGAAGAGAGATGTCAAGCCACATGAAGATCTCCCACAAACAGAAGTTCAAAGGTAAAAGAAACTTCCTCCAGAGCTGAGAGAGAAAAAGGTTTCCACTAGAGCCAGCACCCTGAATTCAGACTGCTAGTCTCCTAAACTGTGAGGAAAAAATTTCCTGTTAAAGCCACCCATTTGTGGTATTTATGTTACAGTAGCACTAGATAACTAAGAAGCCTATATAATGCAAACCATGAAGTACTACTGCACAAACTAAAAGAGACCGACACAAATGGAAGAACATTTCACACTCATGGATGGAAGAGTTAACATTGTGAAAAATGTCAATAATAACCCAAGTGATCTATAGATATAAGGCAATCCATATCCAACTTCCAACAACACTCTTTACTAAAATGGAAAAACTAATCACCAACTTTATATGAAAAGGAAAGAGGACTGAATATCCAAAGCAACACTGAGGAAGAACAAGAGGCTTCACACTTCCTATGTCAAAGCATACTACACAGCCACAGTAATCAAAACTGGTTCAAGGACAGGCACATAGACCAAAGAAGTGAAAACCCACAATGAATCCATCTATCTATGGGCAGCTGATTTCTGATAAAGGGTCAAAGTCCATTAAATGGGACAGAAACAATCTTTTAAATAAATATTGCTGGCAAAATTGGATATCCAGTTGCTGAAAAATTAATTGGGATCCACACCTCACACCATACACAAAAATTAATTCAAAATGGATCAAAGATCTAAATGTTAAAGCTAAAACTATAAATCTTCTGGAAGATAGCATAAGAACAAAACTATGAGACTTAATTCAAAAAAATTATCAAATATACAAAAATGCATGAACAACAGAAGAAAAATAGATAATTGGGACTGCCTAAAGATTGCTTCTGGCCTAAGGCAGTCACCTGTCAAGCGCAAGGCCAGCAGTTCAAATCCACCAGCCACTCCCCGCCACATAGACCTGGCCGACTTGGCCGTCTCTTTCTAGGAGCTCTGGTAGCATAGTGTCTAAGGCACTTGACTGCTAACCATAAGGCTGGCCGGTTCAAACCCACCAGCCACTCCTCGGAAGGAAAGGTGGGCAATCTACTTCCATAGTGATACTGCCTTGGCAATCCAAGGAGGGGTCACTATGAGTCAGGTCCAACTCGACGGCGTAATAACAACAACAACAAAGATTAAATACTTATGCAACAAAGACTTTATCAATAGAGTGAAAAGAACCTACAGACTAGGAAAAAATCTTCAGGCATGATATATCTAACAAGGGTCTAATCTCTAAAATATATAGAAAACTTCAACAATTCAAAAACAAAAAGACAAACAATCCAATTTAAAAATAGGCAAAGGACATGGACAGACACTTCACCAAAGAAGACATTCTAGAGACCAACAACTGCGTGAAAAGATGCTCATGATCACTTGCCTTTCCCTGCTGCCATTGAGTCAATACACTCACAGTAACCCTAAAGGACAAAGCAGAACTTTCTTCATAGGGTTTCCAAGACTGTAAATCTTTACAGAAGCAGACTGCACATCTTTCTCCCATGGAGTAGCTGGTGGCTCCAGCCAACCATTTGGTTAGCAGCCAAATGCTTTAACCACTATGTCACCAGAGCTCCTTCATTAGCCATTAGAGAGATAATAATCAACTACAATGAGACACCATCTCACCCTTGCAAAAATGGCACTGACAAAAAAATTTAAAAAAAAATGCAGCAGAGGGTGTGGGAAGATTGGAACCATTGATGGAACTGGAAAATGGTACAATCACTATGGAAATAGTATGCCACTTCCTCACAAAGCTAGAAATAGAAATATTTTATGACATATGCACATCTAAGTTCATTGTAGCATTATTCACAATAGCAAAAAGATGGAAACCTAAGCACCCCTCAATGCAGGAATGTATAAATAAAATGTCATAGTGCCTAAGGCATTTGACTGCTAACCAGAAGGCTGGCGCTCACCAGTCTGTCCTCAGAAGGAGACTGGGCAATCTATTTCCATAGAGACACCACCTCGGAAACCAAGGAAGTGTTGCTTTGAGTCAGAATTGACTGGACGGCAGTGTTTGGTTCTGGTTTTTTGGTATATACATACAATGGAATACTATGCAGTTATAAAGAATAATGGTGAGTCCTCAAATAACATGGATGAATCTGGAAGACGTCATGCTGAGTGAAATAAGTCAATCACAAAAGTATAAATATTGTATGATCACACTTTTATAAAAAGATAAGAATAGATATATTTACACAGACCAATGCTCATTCGTGGCTATCAGCAGGGGAAGAACTCCCAAGAGAATGAAAAAAAAAAAAAAAAAACCCACTGCCATCGAGTCAGATTCAACTCATAGCAAACCCTCCCTGGGTTTCCAAGGTGGTATCACTACAGAAGTAGATTGCCCAACCTTCCTTCTGAGGAGTGGCTGGTGGGCTTGAACCTCCAGCCTTCTAGTTAGCAGTCAAATGCCTTGGCATTATGCCACCAGAGTTATTTTTGATGATGGGAATGTGAGTGAAGTGCACATAGCTTGATCAAGGTGAATGACATCACCA